CAGAAAGAGGGAGATGAGGGGAAGAATGGCAAAGCGTGGAAAGCGTGGGCGATCCCCCCATCAGTATTGCTTGTAAATTGTACTCCGTAAACTGTAAACAAAGCCTCCCCAGACCCGAATGCGGTCAGCCCCACCAGATTGGCTCCAGACCCGCACCCCCCCCCCGGTTGTCTGTTTACTTTCCAGACTCCAGGCTCCTTGTTCTTCGTTCCTCTTCTTTCCCTCCACCACTCCACGTCCCTCTTCTTTCTTCCATCTTCCAACGCATCGCGCCGTCGAACCTGCTTGGATAATATTCCTCATTCCCACGCGACTTCTACTTCTTAGAGAAGTCAACCTCGTCCTAGAACAACCCCTCCCTTGCTCCGTCTCAATTGTCGCATGATCCACCGCAACTTGCGCGCGTCGTCATGTCCGCCGGATTGCCTTTTCTGCAGAAGCAGCGCAAGCCCACCCTCACGGAATGGGCTCATATCACTGACCTTCAGAAGTAAGTTTCCGTTTCGCCTCGCTGAATCTCCTCTTCGCTTGCGCCCGGCCAGTTGGCTCGGGGACCTGACCATCTATAGCTATGAGGATCTGACCAAGCCCGAGCTCGCCGCGGCGCTTGACTCGCACCTTCAAGCTCACCAATCCATCTTCATCGATGATGCGCGCCTCGGAGATTACTACAGGCGTCTGTCAGGATCTCCGCGCATTTTCTCTCCTGCCAAGAATTCGCCTGTCAAGACATCGCCGACCAAGAGAGCACCTAAGGTGGAAGGCACTCCGTCGGCAGACGAAGCCCCCAAGTCAACGCGCAAGAGGAGCTCCAGATCCAAGGTGGAGTCTGTGCAAACGTAAGTTCCACCTTGCTTTTGTTTGTCGTATTCGTCCGAAACCTGCGACTTCGGCTTTGCATGGATCTCGTTTGCGCGTGCGATACTCGATGTTTACGTCATCGCGGACCCGGGCTGATTTGCGATCCTCACGACAGGGATGACTCCGATGTTCCCCAAACTCCCGGCCAAACGCTGGTGAGTGTTGAACCCCCATTGTCACCACTGGCGGCGGCGCTCCCGCCGTCCCCCGCAGTGGTGACCGATGTGATCGATCGCCAAACGGCGGCATGGGGCAAAAACCTCAAGGACATTTGGAACGCGTCGGGAGTGCAGGAGCAGTCAGATTCGCTGCGCGCCAACCTGAGCAGCGTCAAGGCCATCGCTGTCTTATTGTATGGGATTGAAAGCTTTGGTGTCTTGCGGTTACTTTTTCCTCTGAGACTGTTGACCCGCATCCCCGCTGTAGAAGCGGTCCATTCACCGGCTTTCGATATCTCGGCTCCTGACGCCTTCGTCTTGGTCGAGAGCTCCTTCTGGACTGCTTTCCTTGGGTGGCTCTTCACTAGTCTCGTCATCCCCTTAACCGTCGCGTATTTCTTCAATATCAGCTTGCAGGCGGCTCAGAGCGGTGGTCCGGCGGCCAACACTCGGCGTCAACGGGCGGCAGCGGCCGCGCAGCTCGCCAGCTTCGATCCTCTGAGCTTCCACATTGCCAAGGCGCTCATCGCGTATCTGGTTTACACCGGCAAATTCTCTTACTGGGGCTTCTTCAACGATATCGCCGTCGAGGACATCAACAATGCTATTCCGGGCCGCTGGCCTGGAGTCATCACCGGTTCTGCGATCGGTGTGCTTACCACCCTATATGAAGCTATCCTTCGGAAGTAGATATATCCTGTCTACATGTCCGGTGTGATAGCTACTACGTTTACCAGTTATATAAGCTTGTTCTGTTCGGCTCGCGCCGAGTGACCAAGTCTTGGCATTTCTGGGGTTGGTGTAAGTGAACTCGACTTGTGCTCAGGTACTGTGGGAGCATCCCATAATCTTTGAGGCTGTTCTGGCAGCGAGAACAGTCGATTCCGGGCGTGGGTGAGATTTTTGTGCAATGGCAGGTCCAGAAAGAAGAAAAAAAGATAACATTTATCTTAGAGAGAGAAACTGGCGGGACCGATGGATCAAATCGTGGAGCTGGTTTGAATTTGCTTTGGTGTATTTTCGCTTGCTTTTGTGCATGCTATGCACGATTGTCCTGAGGCGTATTCTGTCTTTCGATCTTGTTTTGTGTTTCGGGTTGATGTCTGGCGTACTCAGCAGGGTGTTGTTGTTGTTGCTGCTGTATGTTCTATGAAGTCTAGGGGACCTCCCCCTCACTTTGGGTTGCGATTCACTGCTAAGGTTTTCAGAAGGCGCTTCTTGGTTTTCGGGGATTAGTGTTTTTGCTTTTCTTTTTGGATGTGATATATCTCTCTATCTGCTAATTGTGACGTAGCAATCGAACAAGAGCTCTGAACAGACGATTCGAGTCGTGAGTTAGTACATACATAGGAAATGGCCATACCTGCAACCAAGAAATCTATCTCATCTATCCTTGAAGCTCTATAATAAGTGCGATGCTAGATTCGACGAAGACCAAGCCCAAGCCCAAGCCCAAGCCCTCACGGCGCTTCCCCCCAAACCCCAACCCAACCCAAGTAGGATGATGGGTGGATACTCATTTCTTCTTAAACCGCTCCGCCAGCTCCAAAGTCAACAGCACCGGCATCTTGGCCTCGACCTCGACCACATCCGCCCGAATATGGTTGCTCGTGCTCAGCTGGCCCCCGATCTCCGTCTTCCAGTCCCGCACATCCCACTGGAACCCGGCGGTGGTGATCCGCGCCGGTCCCAGGAGCGGGATGATCCCGACGTTTTCCTCCAGGAGATGCGTTTTTTCCGGGGTGGTGGTGGTGGTGGTGGTGGTGGCGGTGCTCTGCACCTCGGGGATATCTTGCTTGTTTTGACTGTCGGTGTCATGGCTGGGTGCTGGGGTAGTGGCGGGGCGATTCACCCGCGGCGTGTGCACGATATTCCGGCCAGGGCGGAGGATGAAGGTTATGCTTTCTTCGGAGATGAGGTAGAGGTTTCCCCCTTTGGGGTGGGGTTCATCAATGCTGGAGCTGCTGGTGGTGGTGGTGCTTGTGGTGCTTGTGGCTCGGAGCTCCTGCGTCATGTAGAAGAGGTGGTGGATTTGGGAGAAGGCTTGGTCGACGCGGCCGCCTAGGCCGCCTAGGATGAGGATTTCGAGTTGAGGTCGGGTTTGGGGTGGGGTTTGGGGGTTAGTGATGGAAGTAGGTTCTGTGGTGAGTTCTGGATTTGCTGCTGCTGGTGGTGGTGATGGTGCTGCTGCTGCTGCCGCCGCAGCAGTAGCGAGAATAGTCGCCGTGTTCCTTTGGATGTACTGCAGGCTCTTGTGGAAGTCCGTGCTGTAGTCGTCGATGTGTTGGATGACGGAGACGCCCAGGGTCTCGTAGTGCGTGCGGATCTCCGGGTGGATGGAGTCGAGGTCGCCGATTATGGCGCTGGGGAACTGTGCGGGTTTCTGTTAGTTTTTGGGAAGGGGGGCGGGAGAGGTTGTGGAGAGAGAATGGAGAATAGGGGATGATGGTGGGATATTTCTTGGTTTTGTTTACAGTAGGGAGGGGATGGATGTACTGATGATGTACGGTACTCACATCTGTAAATTCGCTCCCGCGGGCCTTCATCATCTCGTAGAAGCGGTTTGCGCCGCCGTCGGCGCAGACGGTGATACATGCTGCAATTCGTTATTAGCCAGGGGTCTTATAGCTTGGATGCTTGGGCTGCAGGGGGGGTGGGTGTAGATGATTGGACATGTGTAGCTTCAGGGGTCAAACAGTGGTTAGGTACTTAGTAGGTACCTAGGTAACTCACCATGTCGCTGTAGAACATCGTAGGCCTTTTCGTTGATTGGATGGTTGAGGATCAACAGGGCATACGGCGAGGAAGGGTATCCCTCGCGAAAGAATTGCGTGGGATCCCACTCTGTCACTGCCATGGGGGTTTTGAGTCGGTAGGGCAGGTCCATGGTATCTTTTTGTTCTTTCTGGTGTGAGACTGTCCTGGGAAGGTTGTTCGGGGTGTGATAGGGACCGGCGTTATCAAATCCGAATTTCGGAGACGGAGATGGGTTGTCCCCGTTCTTTTTTGCTTGCTCGTGTCCTAATATTTGGTTCTGTGTTTGAATCGTTGTCCTTGATAGTGGAGATGCAGACTCAGAGTATAGGGTTCGCATTCACGAGAGCATCTTCAGTCGGTACACTAAAAAGGTATTGTATGTAGTACACTTACTGTCGATCGATGGTCTGATCTGGAATGATCTCAACTGATAAGTTCAACCCCTCCCTCCTCCCTCTTCAGCCACAGCCACATGGCTGCGCCGATTTGCGGGGTGTGGCGGGAGCCGGCAGAGGCTGACGACAGGCTGACTAACTTTACTACAGCAGCCGTTGTCATTGGCTCCGCTTCTCGTATTCCCCCCAAGCTTCGATCTGCTACACATCAGTAAACTTGCCCTTCAGTTTCTCACGATCTGCTTATAATGAACATCACAGGTGAGACTCAGCTCCGACTATGGTAGCCCGCAGCAAGGGCTGTGTACTCTGCGTGCAACGTAGAGTCAAGGTTGGTTCATCTTACTTCAGAACTAAACCATATCCACTGACTGTTGCAGTGCGATCAACGACAACCTGGATGTGCGAAATGCGAAACCTATGGAGAGCCGTGCCCCGGTTATGGTCCTCGCTTTAAATTTATTGTTGGGAAGCCATATCGCACTCAACGACGTCGAAAGTCAGGCTCTAATCAGGATGGCTCATCCCCCGAGTCACTCGCTGTAGTCCAATCCCAGCCTCTGCGGCAACGTACAAATCCGCTGTGCAATCTCTCATCCATTGCTTCGGCTGATATGAACTTGAGTCAGTGCCTTTGCGTCTTGACGCAGGAGATTTCCAAGCCATTTGCTGCGAACTCGGCGCATGTTACGTCTCGCTGGTTCGGGTTTCTGCCTACAGTGTACGGACGCAGTAGGACCTTGGACTTGACGATTAAATCCTTTACAGCGCATCAGATAGGTAACCTGACGAGTGATCCGCAAGCGGCGCAGTATGCGAGACAGCTGTACGTTGAGTCTTTGTATCGACTGCGGACCTCGTTGGGCAACTCCCGGGAATGTTACTCGCCCGAGGTGTTCTGTGCTGTAATGCTTCTTTGTCTGTACGAGGTGAGTTGCGTGCCATGTCTTTTCATCACAAACGACTCTAATGCACATAAGTTGTTCACCAATGTCCACGACGCAGATGCCTGGATGAAACATGCTAAAGGATTGAGCCAATTGGTGGAGCTACGAGGAGCAGCTCGCTGCACCACCGAGTTCGACCATGTGCTGCTCAAAGCTGCTCGGGGTCTGATAGTCATGTACTCTCTCTTCTCCGGGCAGCGCTGCTTTCTAGCCTTGGAAGAATGGCACACTGTGATGAAGCAGCACCCCAATTCCGGCCTGGGTGACGATCTTGCGAACCTGGTCGAACAGTTCTTCGCGTACTTCACCTCTGCGCCCGGTCTTGTGCATCAGCTTTACGACCTCAAAGACGCAGATTTCACTAAGCCGGATACTGTCGCCAAAGCGAGTGATCTGCTTTTCCAAGTCTTGGTCATGCAGAATAAATTATCCGAATGGCTCGCCAATTTGTCTGCAGTCACGCCGTTGCCGGGTGAGACTCGATCTGCGTCAGGGGATCTGTATTATCCTACTGTGCTCGAGTACTCAGATGAGAGCGCCGCGTCTATTTTTTGCGGGTATTACTCTTACATGATAATCATACACGAGATACTGAGGGTCTGCGGTTATCCTGGTGATCACAGCGCCACCGTTGTCTATTTCCGAGACCAGATCTGCAAGTCGGTTGAGTACAATGCTCGGGGTCTACTGGGACCATATCGCATGGGATTTCCCTTGAGGGTGGCCTATGAAGTTGCGGATCCTGCTACGAGGGCTTGGATCGAGGGTCGTTTGGAAAGGCTCTCGAAAGTGTACGCGGCCGTGCGTCCACAGAACTTCGGATGATCACAACATAAAACCTCAACGATACCAAGTTTCTGATTATCTACCCATGGCTGACCCGAGAGAAAGTCGCCCAATTTATACGCTTAGACCTCTGGGTCAGCTGGGCCTCCCTTAACAGGCCACAGGGGCTCCGCTACGGCACGAGCTAGCAGCAAGATAATGACAATGAAGACCTCCATCACCAGTCCCATGCCCACCATAACACCCTCACTGCCGTCGATGGGCCTGAATTTCCGTGGACCAAACTCCGCTAGCAGGAAGTAAACCACGCGGACCACCAGAAAAGGAAGAGCACTCAGCACTATCAACACACAGCTGTGTCCGGCTGGTGAGAGGACGGAACGATATGTCACCGCCAACCAGCTCACCAGACCACACACAAAACAGAAAGTGGCGGCAAATACGGCTCCTCCAGCATACATACAGCCAGGGATTCCGATGCACTCGCCTACCACTACCAGAACAATGGAGATTATGACCGGGAAGCGAAAGAAGTGGAGGAGGAAGCGGACATGTTTGGGGAAACGGGAGTTTCCGGGGCCGGTGCGACCTGCTTGTCCACTGTAGATCGAGAGTTGCTGTCAGTCGTGTCTAGGTTCAATGGTTGGTCCTTCTCTTTTGTCTTACCTTCGCAAAAGAACGAGGCTCACCTCAAACAAGAGAGGCGAGAGCCCAATACTTTGCAGAACGGATTCTGCTATGAGCATTGACTCGTTTGGATGGCGATTGGAGATCACCATGGCCGAGTCGGCGATCCGGACTAGGTTGACGGAGGTCAGTGCATGCTATTAGTGCACTATGGTGTACATACTCTGGGATAATATGCCCAACAGCCCCCACCATGAGTACAGGAAGCACCGCGCAGGGCGTTTCTGTTTCCTATGGTGCCAGTAACGCCATTCCTGATTGTACCTCATGAGGAATTGGACCAGCTGGATGATCGAGAATAAGACAACCTCAACTATGGCGACGTATCGCTTCTCTGGAGATGTTATGGCGATGTTGGGATTATAGCCAGCCATGTTGAAGTCAACTGGGTCACAATAAACTCAGCGAAGTATACAGAATGGACGGAAATATAGAGCAGGAGACGAGGAGAAGACCAGGCGAAGACACCAAGGTGGAGTGCTCAGCCCGGTTATATATACTAACACCATCTTCAATTAGACTTTTTCTCCCTCTTTCATCGTTTCGAACTCTTTTTCTGCTCGCGTGAAAGCTCACAGCATAGCCATGGCCATCCTCGTGCCTGGTGGAGACATCGCGATGAGTGACCATTCTAGGTTTAGCGCATCTGGTGCGTCAGTAACCAATCATTCGGCTCTTCCGTCCTATAGATCGCGGGCGAAGTCTTCCACCCATTCAATTAAGCTGTCTGTGCGCATCATATTCTATGGATATCAGCCGCACATTTGTACCTCAAGAGTATGTGAAGATCACGAGAGACATGGGGTTGGATCTACAGAGAATACTCAAGTGGCCTTGGACATCCCTCATCTAGCGCTGGATTCATTGTTTATAGAGGCATATACTGACGGAGGATTGCCTGATCATTTAGTACTCTCCCTTCGACTACATGAATGAGTACTGGGAGTGAAAAGCCAGGACGTACGTCCTCCACCCTAAAGGATTCTGCCATCTATAGCCCTGAGGTACCTACTACCTATCTACTAGGTACTAATCGCAAGCGTCGTTGAAGTACAGCGTAACTATGATGCAATATGATTGGTTGTGCCAGCCTGACTAGCCCCTCTCTGAAAGCGGTAAGGATGGTGCCTGAGGTGTCGATTTTGCCAACCTTCCGTCCATTCTTCTCCGCAGTTCGCACTGGATTTCCAATCCATTGACTGTCTATTACCACCTCATCCAGCGTCGCTTTCGTCGGGCATTGATGCCTCTCCCCTTCTTTTGATACCACTCTCTACTCCACTTCCTCAATTGATATCCCTCCCTCTAATTCCCGTCATGTTCCGCTCCGCAGCTCGGGTCGTCCTCCGCGCGCCCGCTGTCCCAGTCCGTGGCCCGGCCAGCAGACGATTGATAAGCACTTCTCCCGTTGACAAGAAGTCGAGAAGCTGGAAGGGAGGCATCGTGCGTCTGGGTCTGGCTGCTGGCGCAATCTACTACTACAACACCAGCCCTGTTTTCGCGCAAGACCCGAAATGTACGTATTGTCCGCTGTTCCGACATTTTCCTCCCGAAGCTTGGTCATCGTTCCGAGATCAGAGCTATGTCGTCACCCTGGAGAAAGACGACCAGACACCGAGAAGCGAATGAAGTTGACTGACAACCTGCATTTAGTCTCCTTCCGCTCCCAACCGCAGCCTGATGCTGTCGCCGAAGAATCTCTCCCGACCCTCGACTCCGTGAAGCCTAAGATCCGTGAGCAGAAGGCTCCCACTGCCACTCCCACCCCCAATTCCACCCCCAGTATCACGCCTGCTGCGCCTCAGCCACCTTCCGAACCCACTCAGATCGACCCTGCGGAACTTGAGGAACAAGCCGGCCACGAAGCTGCTTTCAATGAGGAGACTGGCGAGATCAACTGGGACTGCCCTTGCCTCGGCGGCATGGCCCACGGACCTTGCGGAGAGGACTTCAAGGCCGCTTTTAGCTGCTTTGTCTTCTCCACCGAGGAGCCTAAGGGCATTGACTGCATTGACAAGTTCCAGTACGGAAACCTTCCGCCTGTCGGGTCCTAGAGCGCCGCTAACAGTAACCCCCCTTAGGGCTATGCAAAACTGCTTCAGACAATATCCTGAGGTCTACGGTGCCGAGCTGGAAGACGACGAGGCTCCCGCTGAGGGTCAAGTTGCCTCCGCCGCTCCTGACGATGAGCAGCCCGTGAGCGCTGCTCAGATTGATGCTTCCTCCACCCCCGATGAGAAGCACGCCCGCGCACACGAGGTCAACGCTGAGACCAAGTCGCAGCTTGCGGAGAAGGGTGAGCTCCCCGAGAGCAACGAGCTGATTCCCAAGTCGTGGCACGACACGGAGGCCAAGAACGAGGCCCCCGAGCAGACCAAGAACTAAGCAGCTGTGTCAACGAGTCTGTTATCATACGAGATCACGAACTGAAGTTGCAGGAGTGACAAAGGCTGGGTGTGGATTGAACCGAAACCACGGAGGAGGTGTTTGCGGCAAGCGGGATCGCGCCGTATGTATCAGTATATGAATGTGTTTCTATATCTTATACCCCCACCCTCGCCTCGTTGTTTCTCGTTCTCTTCTAGCGTGCGTCGGCCTTGTCAGCCAGCCACTCAAGCCAATCCGTGCATTCGTGATTGCTTTTGGGAATGGACGTTGCAATTTCTTTGGTCATTGGTCTTTGTGAACCCGCATCACGGACCATCTCCTTCTCTCCCTATATCTCCTATTTACTGTTGAGTTCCTGTATCTAAAATCACTGTACTTGTATGTTTTCTTGTGTTATGGTCATTTAGCAAGTCCGGAAGAGAGAGACGACATGGAATAGAGATAGACCAGTGATTTGTGATTATGTGATCTGGCAAAATTGGTGCTCTCTGTGTTCTATTGTTGTATACGTGCGCAGTGTTGATAGAAGGGTGCGGCTAGAGGTTGTCACACCCAACTTCGAGACTTTGGTGCCTCTGAATGCTTGATCCTCTATTCTCCTTCTGGTTGATCACTGCAGCACTGGGGCTGTTCATCATCCTCAACTAGAAATCGACCTTAAAATGAAACTACACCTACACTTCAGTCCCCAAGCCGGCAAAGGTACTGCAATACACTCCGACGGGGCACTGCTGGCACCTGCGGCATCAACTCCATCATCCCCGAAGTGGACTAGCGCGTTCCCGTCGCGTCTTCCCCCCCACGCGTCTTGCAGTATCAACTGTAGAGAGATCATATCCCATTAGAACCCCAAACCACTTTGGCGACACCCACACCCACGCCCCTCATTGAATCAGATGGAGATAGCATAGCGGCGGCAGGCATCTCAAGTCCAAGTCCCACCACCGCAGTCTCTCCGACACGCCATCTTTTTCCTCTTTTCAACAACAATCCCACCAAAAATTTTTAGATGCCGACAACTTCTTCGTCCCCCTCAATCCCCCCCTCCTTCGACCCAACCATCCACCTCGACACCGACCCAGCCCTCCTCGACTTCGACCAACCCGACCAACACCCCCTCGCAAACGCAAACCCCCAATCGGAGTCGCAATCCTTCTCCGACGACCTCGAGGCCCTAGACCTCCAGCGACAGGAGCGCGCGCGCAACCGGACCGTGATCCAGCATCGCGCGTGGAATCTCTCGGATGTGTTCCGCAGTGACGAAGATCTAAGACCTGGTACATTTTCCCCCTATCATTTCTTTTGAGTCTTTGAGGCGGGACGGGGCGTTCGATACCTATCTGGGGGAGAAAGCAAAAACAGCCGGGATTGATTATTTTATGAGAGGTTACGAGCTTTTTTTGTGCCGTGAATAGACAATACCCCCACGAAAAAGCATAGAAAGCATCGACTCGATTCGCCGGTTCGTGAGTTGGCTTGGTTGCCGTCGTCGTCGCCGCCGGGTGTTTTGAGGATGCCGTTTATTTCGTCGCCTGCGCCTGTTGCTGCTGATGGTGGTGGTGGTGGTGGTGCGGGGGAGGCAGGTGTGTCGGATACGCATAAGCGGAAGATTGAGGAAACGGGGAATTCTGCTGCTGCGGAGGTGGTTAAGAGGCCGAGAATGATGGGTGGGTTTTTGGACGATGAGGACGATGAGGATGAGGATGAGGATGGGATGGAGGCCTTGCGGGATATGCAGCAGATGGATGCTGGTGGAGGTCGGGTGGATGAGTGGGTTGCTCTGCCTGGATCGGCGTCGTTGTCGAAGCGTCCGGAGCGATCGATGCAGTCGGTTACGGCTGCGGAGCCTAAGAAGCCGAAGGTCATGGGTGGGTTTCTGGATGATGACTACGATGACAACAACGACGAGGATGAGTTGGAGGCGCTGCATGATGCGCAATTCAAGAGTCAGTTCATGATGCAGGAGCAACTCATTGAGCAGCCACTCGTTGACCTGCCTGCCATTCCGAGGCCGTCGCAGATCCCCCCGCCGCCGCTGCAGGAGCCGAGCAGCTCGATGCCCACGACCATGTCGCTACCCTCGCGCAGACCGACGAGGTCGATCCAGATCAAGACCTGCTCGGGCAAGACGCATCATGTTGCTCTGAAGAAGCCGGCGAGTAGGGTGTCGTACGAAAGACTCGTGGCCGGTCGTTCGACTCCAGCCCCGGGTCGGGCTCAGAAAGCTTACTATGGTATTGAGATTCATCGGCTCTTGGACGAAGCTGCGAAGGAGGAGGAAGATTGTGCTTCGAAGGTGGCGAGACCACGCCCCTCCCATACGATCCAACCGTCCATCGAGCCCGCGCTGGACGCTGGCCACAACAGCAAGGCCAGTAAGCACGCTAAGGCGATGTGGACGGAGAAGTACCGCGCACGCAAGTTCACGGAGCTGATTGGCGATGAGCGCACCCATCGACACGTCTTGCGGTGGCTGAAAGGGTGGGAGCCGATTGTCTTCCCCAACCTGGGCCGGTCGAAGGCGAAGAAACCCATGCGGAAGGACAACAACGAGGATGAGGAGCCGGCTCACCGCAAGGTCTTGCTTCTGTGCGGCCCCCCGGGACTGGGGAAGACCACCCTAGCGCATGTCTGCGCTCGACAGGCGGGCTACGAGGTCCTCGAGATCAATGCTAGTGACGACCGGAGTCGAGATGTTGTCAAGGGTCGAATCCGGGACTCCCTCGGAACGGAGAACGTCAAAGGAATGAATGTGGAGGTCGGGGAGGATAAAGTGCGCAAGGCGGGACGGCCGGTGTGCGTGGTTGTAGATGAAGTGGACGGGGTCGTGAGCGGATCTGGGGGCAGCGGTGAAGGTGGCTTCATGAAGGCCTTGATCGATCTGGTGATGCTGGATCAAAAGAATTCGGCACGGAAGGCTGAGAAGACGTCGACCACTGGCAAGAAGAAGAAGGGCGACAACTTCCGCTTTCTGCGGCCTCTCATTCTGGTCTGCAATGATGTCTATCACCCCAGTCTCCGGCCGCTGCGGACTGCTGCTATCGCTGAAATCATCCATGTGCGTCAAGCGCCAATCGAGAACGTTGTTGCGCGGATGAAGCGAGTGTTCTCCATTGAAGGCATCCCAGCAGATAACGACGGGGTCCGGCGTCTCTGTGAGGCGTCCTGGGGCATTGCCCGGAGGAAGCAGATGGGCGTCAAAAGCAGCGGAACGGCTGAAGGCGACATTCGCAGTGTGCTTGTTGCAGCCGAGTGGGTGGCGCACAAGCTGCGCAGCGAGTGTCCATCCACGCTGAGGCTGACGCGCAGCTGGCTGGAGCAGAAAGTCCTCAGCGACAAGACCGGTGGCGGGACGTTCTTCAAGGGCCTGAACCGCGGTGGTGTCCGAGACCTCGTGGACCGCGTCTTCACCGAGGGCGCTGGGTTCGCCGACGCCCCCGTGGGCGCTGATTCCTTCCGGGACCCCTACGACGACTCGGCCCGAGTCCCCGTCGGCGTGGCAGATCTGCGCAAGCGCCATGCCATCAACCGCCTGCGCGAGATGGTCGACGCCAGCGGCGAGCACGACCGCTGCGTGTCCGAGTGCTTCTCCTCGTACCCGTTACAGACCTACCAAGACGACACTTTCCTCTCCAAACCCAACGCGGCCTACGAATGGCTGCACTTCCACGACACCATCTCCTCCAAGATCTTCTCCCACCAGGACTGGGAACTGGGCGCCTACCTCAGCCAGCCCGTCCTCGCCTTCCATCACCTCTTCGCCTCGACCTCCGGCAAAGCCAAAGCACCGACAACAACAACCTCCTCCTCCGCGGACGCCGACAAAGACGCCGCGGAGGAAGAGCACCCATTTTCCGGGCCCCGCGCCGACTTCGCCGCCTACGAGGCCCAGAAGCAGAACCGCGCCCTGCTGACGGAGTTCCAGTCCTCCTTCTCGGCACCGTTGAGTCGACTCTTCCGATCCACGGAGTCGTTAGTGCTCGACCTCGTCCCCAACCTCATCAAGATGCTCTCGCCGGACGTGAAACCGGTCGTCGTCCGCGGCAGCGGCGAGCAGCGGAGCGTGGCCAGCGTGCGCAAGGAGAGCGAGCGCGCGCTCGTCCAGGCCGCCGTGCGCGTCATGTCCGGTCTCGGCGTGCGGTTCGAGAAGGTCCGCGTCGAGGGCGCCGGCGGTGCGCACAGTGGATGGGCCTATCGAATGGAACCGTACGTTGACCCTTCCTTTGCCCCTTTATCCCCTCCAGACGCCCCCCCCCCCACCAACGATCCCATCAAGTTCGATAACCCAACTAACCTGCGGGAAAAAAACAGACCCCTCGACACCCTCATCACCTTCTCCCAAACCAAAACCAACACATCCACCACCACCACCACCGCCTCCGCCCCCGTCCGCTACGCCGTCCGCCAAGTCCTCGACCAGGAATACCGCAAAGAAACCACCCTGAAAAAGTCCACCGATGGCGGTCTCAAACTCACCAACCCCAAATCCAGCACCAACACTCTCCAAAAAGCCAGCCCCGAAACGGCCAAGAAACCCGGCGCCGCAGCAGACGGCATCGCAGTCAAACGCGATTTCTTTGGACGGATCATCCAGGAGCCGCCGGCGTCGGCGGCAGAGGGGGCCGAGAATGACGACGCTCATCAGAAGAATGCGGCGGCGCAGACGGAAATGTCCAAGAGCGGAAGAAGGGTGTGGGTGACGTACCATGATGGGTTTTCGAACGCGGTGCGTAAGCCGATTTCTTTGGCGGAGTTATTGGGTGATTTGTAGATTCGTTTCCTGGTTTTGAGGGTGTGTAGGTAATGATTGAATGAGGTTTGTGGTTCATTTATATGGTATTGCTAGGTTAGGGCTGGCGTTTAGTTTGTATGGGTTATTGGTACGGTAAGGGATCTGGGGCGGGCGGGGGCTTTCATTGAACGAGTTTATAACTTAGGTGCGAGGGTACTGTTCTACTTGTTCTGCCTTCGTGTCAATCTAGTGAGAACTTGACCACAGAGTACGGTTAGATGAAGATCTGCTGCTCCTATTGGTATATACTTCCTCCAATCCACCCATCTCATCTAAAACTTCTCATCAAGGAACCAATAAAGAAAAGGATTCATGAACAAATGCCGACCCCGAACATATCTCATGGATGGGGGGATAAAAACAAACAGAAATAATTCAAGCCATCACAAAAAGGACACCATGCAATAAAAAAAAACACACACAAAGAAAAAGTTAAGCCTGATTCTTCAACTTCTCCGTCAACTCGGGCACCTTCTCAAACAGGTCCCCGACCAACCCGACATCGGCGACCTGGAAGATCGGCGCGTCGGCGTCCTTGTTGATGGCGGCGATGACCTTGCTGTCCTTCATGCCGGCCAGGTGCTGGATGGCGCCCGAGATGCCCGCGCACAGGTACAGCTGCGGGGCGACGTTCTTGCCCGTCTGGCCGACCTGCAGGCTGTTGTCGGCGAAGCCGCTGTCGACGGCGGCGCGCGAGGCGCCGATGGCGGCGCCCAGGGTGTCGGCCAGGGGCACGATGACGCGGTCGAACTCCTCCTTGGACTTCAGGCCGCGGCCGCCGGAGACGACGCGCTGCGCCGTCGCCAGGTCCGGCCGCTCGGACTTGGCCAGCTCCTCCGACACCCACTCCGTCTGCAGGGGGGCCTTGGGGTCGCTGCCGGCCTCGATGGCGGCGCCGCCGCCGCTCGTCTCGACGCCCTGGAACGAGGTGCCGCGCACGGTGAGGATCTTGATCGGGTCGGTCGATTGCACGGTTAGGATGGCGTTGCCGGCGTAGATGGGGCGGACGAAGGCTATTTTTGGGGGATGATTAGTTCTTGGACGTGGGAGGGTGAGGTGAGGTGAGGTGCTTCGGGGTTTGTGGTGGTGGGTTGGGAGCTTTTCTTTTTTAAAAAAAGTTGCGACTCCGACACCGGAGATAGGATGAGGGGAAAGTTGCAGAACACAAAACTAAAGCAGGGGAAGACGTACTATCCTCGCTCTCAATGCCAGTGATATCGGACACCTGCTGCACATCCAACAGAGCTGCCACGCGGGGCAGGAGACTCTTGCCGAAGGCCGAGTGGCCGGCAACCACGTGCGTGTATTCGCCTTTCTGGATGTTCTCGACGAGCAGAGGGGCGTAGTTCTCGGGGAGGCCCTGTTTTGTGACAAGATTAGATTAGCATGTGATCAGGTAAAAGTATCGGCGCCAGCCTTGAATTGCGGGATTGAAAGTAGATTCCATAGCGGAGGTTGAGCTGGAGCTGGCATACCTTCTCGTAGGCCTCGTTCTCCACCGCAACGACCTTGTCCAGACCCTTGATCTGGGCCGCCTCGGCCGCGGAGGTCGCCTTCACATTGGCCCCGGCCACGAAGGCAGTGATAGGGCCCCCGAGCTTCTGGGCCGCGGCGATGGCGGACAGGGAGGAGGGCTGGATCTTGCCGTCACGCTGTTCGAGCACGGCGAGGGTGGAGAGCAGGCGGGCGAAAGCGGCGGAGGAGATGGCGGTGGTGGTGCGCGTGGAGGGGAGGATCTGGGCGCGGGCGGCGCGGAGCACCGAGTTTCTTGCGAGAGGAAGCATCTTGAGGTAGGCGAAATTGATTGAGTGGGTGGGGAGGTTGGAGAGGGGAGAGCTTGGAGAGGAGAGAGGAAGAGGAAGAGGAAGAGGGAGGGGAAAGAAAGGTGGGGAGTGGATGAGCGGAAGTCTTTCAGGTGAAATTGAAGGTTATCGTCGGATTGAATGGCTTGACCGCCCGCTCGGCCAGTCAGTCACAATCGCCGATCCCGCCGGCGGCCAAATCACCCGACGGACGGCTGGTTCGGTTACTCCAGCTTTGGCTGTGCCAGGCAGAATATCCTCGGTACAATGTCAATCATATGTCATAAATCAGTTGACTCCGTAAGATGTACAGAACTTTTACTGTTTATTCTTTTTATTCGTCCAAGGGGTATTGAGGTACACGCCCTGATATGATAGAAAAAAAATAAAACTCTAAATCTAGAGATGGAGGGAGATTGAAGACAAAGCGAAACAGAAAAACAGCGCCGGTAGACAAGAACAACCCATTGCTTATTCAGATACAAATCCGTGGAAATCAAAACAACACCGGAGGTATAGACTTGATTGAGTGAGAGTTCGAAGCGTAGGACGATTATGAAGTCGACTTTCTCTTCTTCTTACCAGCGCCAGCCTCGGCTTTCGTAGGCGCCGCGCCATCTTCCAGGGCCTTAGCCTTCTGCTTCTGGAGCTTCTCTTTCCTCGCCGCCAGCGTCACGGCATCCTCATCGTCCTCAGCGGCGGCCTTGGCCTTCTTGGCCTTCTTGGGGGCCTCAATCTGCTGCTGCTTCTCCTCGTCGCCCGCGCTGATCTGCTTGCGCTTCTTGCCGCCGGCAACGGCCTTGGCCGCCTCCTCGGTACCCTCCTCGACCACGTCATCGTCCTCAAGCCACAGCTCGCTGGCCAGCCAGATGGGCATGGCCATGGTGTTGGCGCCCTTGATGTGGATCGCCTTGAGGTTGCGCCATCCCTTCGTCACGTACTTCTCCGTCAGGCCCGTGACGACCGCGTCGATGTTCTCGGCGAGCTGCTCGGCGGTGAAGTTGGACGCACCGACGCGGATGGCGGCCGTGGTCGCCGGGGCGAGCTGCACGGGGGCGCAGTGCAGCGCGCGCTCGATCTCCCGGGCGACGATCTCGGGGGCGGCGAAGGCGCTGCCTTCGTCCTTGCTCTTCTTCGCCTTGGCGTCCTTCTTGACCCGCTTGCCGTCGACCTTCTCGATCGCGGCGATGCGGACGGGGATGGGCCGCTTGCTGGACTTGTAGAAGGTCTTGCCGAGGGTCTGGACCAGGCGCATGATGATGCGGTCGTCGGCCAGGAAGACGTCGTGCTCCGCGAGCAGCTGACGGCATTTCTCGAAGCTGTCGTAGCGGGCCTTCAGCTTGTTGTATCCGATGACCTTGTCGATGCTGTTGGTCAGGTGCGCGGGGAAGGACGGGTCGGCGACGATGTTCTTGACCGCGCGCTGCGGGTCCGCGGTGATCAGGCAGACACTGAGCGAGGACTTGGTGTTGAGCGAGTGGGGGATCGGGATCTTGCCGGGCTTCAGGCGGTTCTTGTCGACCACGTGCTTCTTGGTCGTGAGGACGAGCCACACGGCCTCGTTCTTGACCGTCTGCTCGCCATCGGAGTCCTCGTCATTGTCGCCGATCAGCGTCTTCTTGGTCGCAGTCTTCTCCCTCTCCGCCTGCGTCGTCTTGATGTGGCGCAGGAGTGCTTCGGATGCTCGCGAGACCTGTTACGAATGCTCATCGTTAGCGGGTTATTGAAGTTTCCCTCCGCTGTATGTGAGGTGTCTCGACAGCGCATGAGCTGTGTTACATACCTGGCTCTTATCAAGCTGGTAGGGAGTGCCGGAGGTCGCCTTAGTCGTCAAAACCGTGGAAGACCCCATTTTTGCGGTGATAATATGGAAAATGTTGCAAGAATCTGATAGGGCTCGACTTGAGCGATAATCTAATGATAAAAAAAAAATTCATGGGAAGGCGGTAGCCACTTTATTGCCGGTCTTGGCGGCGGGCGAGCACGCTTAGTCAGGCATCGTTGCTCCCCGGGTCATGTGATTTCGCATATGCTCGTGGAAATCACATGAGCAGTGGTTTGTCCTTTCTCGTCTGAAACTCCAGGCGCGATTACAATGGCATGTCAGGAATCTTGTCAAAAAGCAAGTGAGTCACATGTGAGCAGTGCGACGACGCCAGTGCTGGCTATCTCCGGATGCTTGCCCCCCCCCAACCGTCCGTGACACAGTGGGATGATGAAGAGACGGTCTGTAAGATGAGCTGGGCGACCAAGTCCAGTCATTTACGATTATCTATATGGGATCGAGCTGACGGCTTACGCAGGGGCGTGGCTCTGAGCTATTGGGGCTTCGACTCCAAGTCAATGCTTCCCCATGCCCATTTGCCTTGTTCAAGGCCACGAGGTGACGGGGAGTCCCAATCCCCGAAGACCACGCAGGCCCTGGGTGATGGAAACGTGATGCTTCACGGGCTTCTCTTCACGATGTGCGGCCAGTCCCTTGCATGTTTCATCCTAGGAGTATTGTCAAGGGTTTCCGGATATGCGCGTCCTCCACCCGCGCACCAGCCAGGGATGGATAATCGCTGTTGTTCATTAGAATCTGCGCACAAGACAAGCAATTAGCTGTGGGACTACTGAGTCTCGGGAACTGAAAGACTATCCAGAGCCAAGATGATGCTTCGGTAATTAAATCTTGGAAACGGTTTCTCAAGAAGGTCTCGAATAGATGCTCGACTGATTTCACTATCACCAGAAATTGAATTGGTCAGAGCCAGCGATTTTGCATCGCACACGACCGTAACGAAGGATGCCCGGTCAGCGAAAGAGACAACTGTAAAGGCAGGTCAGTTAGCGGTGAGGGAAAGACAACCGGGACGAATGATGCCATATGCTGGATATTGATTTAATAAACGACGAATAGGCCAAGACAGTCTTGGGCAATCGAATACTATGAGCAAATAGTCAGTATAGTGGTAGGTAAGTCAACCCATGCGCATTGACCATGTGGATTATTGCAGCGAGAGGGAAACAGGGACTGGTCTCGGAGTATTTCTTCAACCTGCAGAGAGTTTTTGTTCACGCAAGAAGAGAAAAAAAAAGGAGGTATAACATTCCGCTTGGCAATGGACCAGAACCGAGCACAAGCCACATGACCGACCGACCCTCTTTTCGAATATGTCTGGCCATTGGTTCGGTTGGTGTCGCTGATAGTAACCTATAGGTTAATATCCTAGTGGTTAGGGGATTGAATGTCCATTTCCCGTCCTCTACTCCGTATTTGATCCGATTACTAACTACGGAGACTACAGCTATCTTGGCTACGCACTGGCAGGCTACGGTCGTAACAATGGGATAGCGTTGCTTGACAGTGCTCATCGTTCGTCCGGTTGGTCGCCCGCCCAATTCTCCGGATGGGGCCAACGCAGAATGCGTTAAAACAGAGCAGTCGACTTGTCGCCGGCACATGAGACAGTTGGTGGAACAACAGAGAGAAGCTTGTGAGGTATATAGGAGAGGGGTCGGTGATTCAGGCACAGATAGACGATGATAGGACCAAACCGATGTCATCGGTGCCTGAAACAATAATGCGCGATGCTACCGCGGATTAAGATTTTCCCTTCGGGTCTCGGGTGCCGCTCCAACAAACTATGACCGTCTGTTTACATCCATCCTCAAAGCAACCTGATTCGAATGATAGGTGAGTTTGAGCTTAAACTTCAATGCTTCAATGCTAGTGCTCCCTTCGAATACTTCGATAGGCTGAGAGCATGGGCAGTCATTTCCCGTACCACACACCGATGGTCAAGTCCACGTCAATAGCTGAGTCGTTCGGGGGGATTAGCTTACTTTCCGAGGTCTAATAGTCTGTCTGCCTTGGACAAGAGGGCAACGGCGACTAATTAGTTATGGGGGTTAGATTATTGAATCAACAATGAGTTCAACAGGCCTTTAGTCTAGTAGTAATGTAGCAACTAGCTCAGACATGGCACGAGAGACCGAGCATGCGTGGAAATAACTCCCACGCCTGTGCCCCTCACAATATACCCGGTTAGGCGTAGTGTGACCCCATCCTTCAACTTAGGTTTGTTTTAGCGCTCCCTGCAGCCCGGTTAGTGCGTTGGTTTGAAGTAAGGTACGGTTGCTGTATCTGGGAGATTGGTCCCCGCCGGTGGAAAATCAAGCTAACCAAGTCTCGGTTGGATGCTTTTCTTTCAGTCTTCCCCCCCCCCTCGTCTCCACTCACCTCGGGGTTTTTATCTCCCCCCTATACCTTAGTAGCTTTCTGGCCCTGCTCTCTGGCCAAAGACAATTTGGTAGGCTGTTCATCATCTAACACGAACTCAACTGCCAACACCCTCTCTCCACCCAAACTATTGACTTTATCGGCTCCAACCCTCCGTAAATTGAGCGGAGAACGGGCAGGCCGAGGAGAATATGGGGAATAAGCAACCACGCGGTCATGCTCTGCAGACTGCTTGGCATCAGACAACCCACGTCAAATTCCCGGTGAAGCCACGCAAGCCCATAGGTTGCTATCAGCGAGTGCCCCTGGGGAGACAGAACTCCGTGGTAACCGGCACATTATACTCCATGTATAGCCCCTAACGAGTCAGCCTGGATGTAGTCTCCGGTTGCCAAGCTTTAGGCTAAGGCGCGATGCGAGAGTCCTCTTCCTGGCAGGAATCTGTAGGACACGGGGACGATGTTGTCGACGAAGGGGGGAAAAGATTGTGTCAAAAGTCATCCTCCTTTAACATACGGCGAACTGTAACTATTATGCTATGTTGGTTGTGTTTGATGAACGTGTTCAGGGTCCAGCTAGATATTGTGCAACTCCCCAGCGATCTCGTCAGCTTGGACCCCTAATGCGTGGTAGCCGGGGTGTTGTTGTGTTGTGAGGACGGCTTTGGGGGCAAAGGGGCTGAAAAAGAGGCTGCCCTGGTCATATTGTTAAACTCAAACAGCGGGCCAGGTTTGATAGGCGAGTTGCATCGTGCTTTGCTGGCTCGGGAGCTTGCGCGTTTTCCTGGATATGACTGCCTTGTTATGCAGGTACCGTGCAGGGATGAGCCATCCGTAAGATGTTTGCAGATAGCAGTGATGTACAGCATTGGTACAGCTGGTATGGCTTAAGCAGTGACTTCTCATTTGCTCAGCATAGAGACTCCTACAATGTTTGTATCTTCCGTGTGCTGGTGTGTTCAAGACCCGCCCTTGTCGAGCGGAAGAGCTTGCCGCCGGGATATATCTTCTGATAAGCTTCTATTAAGTAGACAAGATAAAGCTTTTAAGCCAAGTAATCTGGTCAATGTTGAAAACATGCTTGGTACATTTGCAAGCAGTCGAGGTTGTAACGAAGATCAAAATAAGCATGGGTCTGATGTTGTTGTCCGTCTTCCTGTGGTCAGAAGGCTGAACAAGGATGGCAGCCTTTGTATTACCGGGCTACCCCGCACTTGTCATGAGCATCTCGATCCAATATCAGTTGACATAACAGTGAAGAAGATCACAACAGCCAGATGAGATAAACATGTCACACTTACTGGCACTCTTTTCTTGTAAGCTTATTATGATGATCAAGATCGGCAAATTAGGTTATTGCCTGGTGGACCAACATTCAGTATCACCGGTCGGGTTCGGCTCAGATGGCCACCTACTGCTTTAAGCGCATCAGAGGATGTTACAGAATCTAGAATCCCATGACAAGGAATGCGTATCTGAATGATGAGTATAGGAAATGGCTTGCTATAATTGCGCGCCCGGCAACTGCACGTCTATCGATCACGGTAGACTGTGAAGGCGCATGGAATGTAGTTCTAGCGTCAAGATTGTCTCCAGAGCAGCCGATGGATCTCCCATTACCTAGCAAATGTACATATGCATCAAGGGAGATCTGACATCGTCGCTTATCATTGTCGTGCCAGACCTGAGGCGCAGACCAGGCGACCAGATGACAGGTAGTAGCGTCAAGCTATATTTATTTAGAGTAGCAATGGACCTGCATTTGAATACGGCAGTATAACCAGGCAAGCACCCGAAACTGTGATCGAGATACTGCCTACGCCAACAGACTTGCAATCATCTCATAAGTACGGAGAGAGAGAGCAATCTGTCTCCCTTACCGAGTCGCATGAAGCTGCCCCTGAATATACCTACTCGTCATCACCGAGGACATCAACAATGTCTTAGAGTAATGCCGTGAAGTATAATTGATATCTACTATAAATGGGGAATTATACTTATTTTCAGCCACCTGGTGTTGTTGACGATCTTAACGTATGACATGTAAAGTGCCTCGGATCGGTCGCCAGGGATCCTGATCATCTCACTTGCAGGGTGTTTAACAACGGCTGCAGGGGTTCCGCAGATGGGCTGGAGGCTATAATACCGAGCATAAGGGCTTAAGGGTCGGCTTGCGAAAGGGTTAAAAATATCAGAGGGCCCCTATTCGGCCAGACTCGCGCACTGTGCAGATCCATCCAGTAGGTGGTTTAAACTTGCTTGGCTCTGAAAGAGTTGAGAGTACGAAGGTGGTCATGGGTAATGGCGTTACAGAACAAATACTGAAGGTTGGGGTTTGCTGAAGGCTGAAACAGCTGAAGATCCAGAATACTGGAGAGGGGTTACATCACTACCCGAAGCGCTTTGCGCCTGCCAACTATGAGAAGGATTCGATGAGATGGACCCTGGCTAGTACAGTAGAATGAACAACAACCTAAGAACAACACAGAAGGCAGGCAGTGCAACTGTTTGTTGATGTTGATTTTGTTGTTGTCCGGGATGTCTGACTTGCTGAATAACACTTTCTTGATCTTCGCTTTCAGTTTTCCTGCCGCCAGGCCGACTGCGCCCACTAATGCAGGCCAACATTAAGATCGGACATGAGACATTGCCATGGTAGGCCGATTTGTGGCAATGGTTCGGCAGCGCCTCAGCCGGTGATTGGTGTGCCTGAATGGGGACAAAGTCTGATTTCCACCGGCTGAGGGCCGAATCTCACCCTCAATTGGCTGGGAGGTTTAATTAATTTCGGTAACCGCCAAGCAAAAGCGTGTCAGGAACAGGAAAGCTCCAAACATGCTGCTGGCGGTGGAAGAAAAATAGGCAAGGATTTAATGCCCGGCCTGCGAATCCTCCCCAAGTTCGGTTACTCAACACTGTTGGATTTGTTCCAGACAGTCAACCCGAGTCTTGGCTCTCTCTCTTCAAAGGTAGAGAAACAGAAGAGAAACACATTGGCTGGGCTGTGAGTGTTATTCTAGTATGGAACCTGGCCCCTCTCCTCAAATCCCCACTTCCTGGCTTCACGTTGCCTTGTGGGTGGTCTTTCTTTGAGCGAGCTGATCCTGGCGGACTTGGCTTGGGGGAGGGGGGGGGGGAAGGAGAGTTTTCTATCAACCGCCCCCTATTTGTTGTCTGAAGGCAATTCAAGTTGTAGAATGTCAAATTCTTGTGGGATCTTTGGGGGTCTCCGGTCTCCTGTCATCAGGGGGAAGGCACATACCGGAATGTGCCTTATACATTCTTGAGATCTCTGCCCACCTTATCTAAACGACTTTTGGTATAAAGATGAAGTATAGGTACTGTCTGTACATATGATCATACTAAGTAATATGATAGCCAGAGATCACAATCAAATTGAATACAGTCCAAATACTGGAAATGTAATATCCGAGTACTGAATCATGACCGGACACTAACCATGTGGGCCCCCCTAATATTAATATTATTTTTCTTTTTTATCCCCCCATTATTATTATCACCAACGATGGCCGACTGACTAGTGTAATATTATTGCCTTTCTTTTGGTCTGTCCACTCTCTCTTTCCTCTCTTCTCCACGGCCAAA